CTTCCCGCAGCAGGCGCCTGGTCACCGCAGCTATAACCGATCTACTGGGAAGCGATTCTCCCTCCTCTCCCTCTCCACCTTCGCTTCTTAGAATTCTGAGCCCTCGGGTGGTTTGGAGGAGCCCAGTCTGAATTCTAAAAGCACGCACCTGGCCCTCGGGGAGCGGGAACTCGCATCCGAAGGCATGCAGAATCCCCTTCTCAACCCTTGCGGCCATTCCCTCATTTACCCCATTGCTCTCGCCCTTTCTCCCCAGCAGGTTTAACTGAAGTCATCCGCGAATGGAGCGGACTTCATCCTTGAGGTTCTGGCCACCCCCGCTGCTCCACCCTCGTCCCCCTCCCCCAAAGCAAACTGTAAGCTCCCAGCAAGCGTATAGCTCATACATTCTTCCCGGCCCGAGGACACTTGGGTAAACAGACACTTAGCAAGCTTACCCCGCTGTTGGCGGCGCAGCAGGCAGTGAGGCGCGGTCTAGCTAGCCCCCCATAAAGTTGGGCCGCGCGGATCAGCGGGGCAGAGCCGGCCTCTCCAGTCCCGGGCTCCCCCCCGCGCGAGATGATCTTAAGCTCATCGCCTGCGCTCCGTGCGCGCAGAACAGCAGAGCTGAGGGCGGCGTGTGCAGCAATTCTCCCTGCTACTGAGAAAGAGGAGAAGGGGGGAAGGGGAGAGCGCGGAGGAGGGAGGGGTGGTAGTTTGTATTTATAGAGAACAGAGTTCTCAGCGCAACTTTTTGGTGCCACCAAGTGGCACAGTGAGCTCCTTTAGGAACACAGACTTCGGGTCGAATCTGGATGGGTAAGCCAGCTTCACAGCCAGATGCTCACATGGTGGGAGGGTTGGGGGACATCCCCTCGGACTTGAGTTTTCCCATGTGAACTTTCTCATCTCAATGGCTGGAATTCAGATCCGTAAATTCTAAGAATGTGCTTGTATTGAGGGGGAATGTGTACCTGTGCCTCCTTCAGACAAGTGGCAGAGGTGTCAAGGACACTGGGCAGATGCCAGTAGCCTCCTAGGAGTCTAGGAACCCTTGTCTCAGGAAGAATGTTTCCTTCTCTCTCCTAACCCTTCTGTCCAGATTACAGTATTCTCAAATATCACTCTTAGCTGTCCTGCCGTCCTGATTGCCCAACCTTTAAAGTACGATGCCATTCATTTTCCTTGTGCTAGAATCAATTCCAGATTCTTTACCAAACCCTCATTCAAAGAACATCACAGCTTGCCACCAAACTCCCTTCTTTAATTGCTACCTTTAAAAAAGCATGTGACTTTAGACTCTGTGGATCCAAACCTCTCCAGACAGCACTCAGGACTCCAGGTTCTCCTGGCTACAAGCTAGGTGTCTGACTGTCCTTCTCACCCATTTCTACAGAACTCTTAGCACACATTACACCAACAGCAAAGCCAAGAGCTTGCAAATGCCTTTGATACTTTGAGGGAAAATACCTTGAAGCTTCCTTTGTCCAGATTTTCTGGGCACTTTTCCTTCCTTGTATGCAGATCCTCAAACCCATGAAATCATAGACACTGCTACTGCATGAGACCTTAGTGACCCAAAACACAGAAGAGCCTCTACATTTTGCAGATGGAGAAACAGAGTACACAGAGGTTAAGGGACTTGTTCAAGGTCACACACTTTCCTAGAGACAGCCCAGAGACTACCCAGGGTGATAATAAACGAACACATTTATGCCAAACCTGACTTCCAGGCTCCTGCTCTTTCTACCACCTTACACAGCCCATTCAGTCATATTTAGCTCTCTTCTCTTCCCTCTCCCTCCATATCCCTCTCTCTGACCCCATCCTTTGCCAAAGTCCCATAAAGGAACCTAGGGTAAGGCCATCTTCCTAGCCCCAATTGGAGTACATAAACTTGAGCTTAAAGGTGCAGAGTTGCAGGTGTACCCCCTTAAAATGGCCCCTGTTCTCAAAAACCTCTCCTCGGCAGTGTAGTCATGGAAGTGTCATTTTAGAAATGGAACACTGGCATTTACACCCAACCAGGTCCCTCTTTTGCTGTCTCTTTTCAGGGTGAAGCACCAGCAAATGCTCTTATTAGCCTCCCACCAACACCTAATGGCTTCAGAAACAGAGAAGCCCTCCTCCTTTGGTAAATGCACCACTTTGTGCACATGTATCAGTATGCGAGAAAAGAGAGAGAGAGAGGAAGAGAGGTGTCCAAACGCTCCCTTTGGCTCAGAGCTCTATTTTTTCTCCCCTGATTTTTTTTTTTTTTTAGTTCATTTTCTATGGAAACGAGCCCACTTAAATTCCTCACTTATGCAAATACAAGCAAAATGATATTCATAAACCTCTCATTGGAGCGACGCCGCGGTAGCCTGGGCTCCCGACTAGAGATTCATGTCTGATTCACACAGCACACGTCCTTGTGGGGTGACTTTCCTAAACTTGCAGTACCTCGTAGCGTCCCTGGCTCCATCACTTCTCCACCTGCCCACCACCTGCCCTCCCGGGTCCCTTCGCCCAAGCTCCCGCCCCTTGCCTGACTGCTCTCCATCCCTGCGCTGGGGGAGGGGCTCCGGAGGGCTCCTACTGCCGCGGCGACCCAAGAGCCGAAAGAAAGAAAAACGCGCGGTGTTTACCAGGTGCGCGCCCGGAGCCTGGCGCCCCGAGCCAGCCGCTCCTTGCGGGCTCCCCGCGCTCGCGAAGCGGCCTGGGCTGCAGCTGGGGCGCTAGTGGCGACGATGGAGGCAGCGGCGGCAGCAGGCGAAGCGGCTCC